CCATATGTTATGCTAATCCCGTCAAGGTAATGGCTGTTAATATTACCGTTGCTTCCAAGAACTCCTTCAGTTGAACCATACTGATATCCAATTACCTTTCCACAGACTTTGGAGTAGCTTAAATGAGTTGGAGTGAAAGATGTACCTGTGCAACCAATTTGGTTACTTTGCCTTCCACAAGCTCTCACACCTCCAGTTTGATAATACTTAAAACCAGTGGGGCAATTAACTGCGCCATCTTCCATATTGAGATAAGCAAGTCTTGTCCAGCCACCCCCTTGACCGCAAAGATTGTCCATATTGCAGTAAACATTTTCACTGTTGATGTGGTAGTAGCCTGAAGGACTGTTGGGCTGTGCATTGTATACGTCAAGGCAAGTCAGAGTTTGCAGGGAATTGAGTAGCTGGGATGCATTCAAGATGTTTAATATCTGATCGACTCCAATCAGTATGTCATTCACAGACCCTGCAGTTTCGGTGGTAGTTCCTTCGACGGTTGTAAGAGAACCAATGATACTTATCAGTTGCTGTGAAGTCAATTCCCTTATATCATTGAGAACCTCACTGTTGTTAACAGCATAAGCTGTCTGACTAGTAGCCTGGTCCGAAAGGTCTTGCAGTGCCTGGAAAAGCTCAAGGAATTGGTTAGCATTGAAGGCCATGCTGCGGTTGAAGTGTTGATTGAGCCATGCTTGCATCATTTTGGTCTCATTGATCATTTCAACTATGTTAGAGTATTGCGGGTCACTCATAAGAGTATCAGTTGTTGGAGAAGCTGTAGGAGTATCGTTCACTTCATTAAGAGTAGCACTACCTATGGCTAGTAGAATGATATTTAATGCCACTAGTATCACTAGAAGACCAACAACTATGAGCCACTGGAACTTTTCCAAAGGTACATATGCTATGTTGTGTATCTTTCTCTGCACATCAAACTCCTGTTGATTCCCATCATAGTCGATCTCCATTTCTTGGAAATTTTGGTTTTCAGCTTCCTTAGAATCTGCCATTCTTCTTTTGATCTTCTCTGCAGAACTTTTGCAAGAAAAACTCAAATGAAAGGTGGGATATGAAATATGATATGCCCACACAAACTTTTATAGGAATCATTATGCATCACAGAGGTATTTTATTAGAGAGGTGTGGTATTATAAATAATATTAAAGCATGCACAATGAATACTATATAGCTCTACATGTCAGCAGTACAGAAATAGAATCATAGGATAGAGTGCATGTTACAATCAAAAAATGTAGAACAGCAGAAAAATGCAGTTTATACTGCGTGTATGTATATGCATGCTATGTTAGAGGGAGCAGAAAAAAGCAGCGTATCGTATCTATAATAATACTAAGTTTTATCAGTAGTTTTACTTGACGTAGATCTCATATAAACCTACTGGCGAGTCTTCTAAATCAGGTTGATCTCCACAAATTCTAAGCTCGATAGGATCGGTGATGGAGACAGCCCCAAAGTCCCTATAAAACCAAGGCAGAGTTTTATTTGTGCAACAATTTTGCTCCAATGTACTGCAGCCTTGTCCATCCCACAAAGGATCATCTGTAAAGAGCTGGTTAAAAATACCAAGATGAGGATTACCAGATTCACAGTAGTAGTTATCGCCAATAAAACCTGGTACTGTCTGTATGCTTCCTTGACTGCACGGGCAGTTGTAGAACCCTCCATCGATGTTATTCTGTCTCAGTCCAGCTACTAGTGTCCATATGTGATTACGAGGTGATCCGTATGTTATGCTAACCCCGGTAACGTAATGGCTCTCAATATTACCGTTGCTTCCAAGAAGTCCTTCAGTTGAACCATACTGATATCCAATCACCTTTCCACAGACTTTGGAGTAGCTTAAATGAGTTAGATCGAAAGATGTACCTGTGCAACCAATTTGGTTACTTTGCCTTCCGCAAGCTCTCACACCTCCAGTTTGATAATACTTAAAACCCGTGGGGCAATTAGATGTACCATCTGCCATATTGAGATAAGCGAGTCTTGTCCAGCCGCCCCCTTGACCACAAAGATTGTCCATATTGCAGTAAACATTTTCACTGTTGATGTGGTAGTAGCCTGAAGGACTGTTGGGCTGTGCATTGTATACATCAAGGCAAGACAGAGTTTGCAGCGTATTGAGTAGCTGGGATGCATTCGTGATGTTTAATATCTGATTGACTCCAATCAGTATGTCATTCACAGACCCTGCAGTTTCGGTGGTAGTTCCTTCGATGGTTGTAAGAGAACCAATGATACTCTTCAGTTGCTGCGAAGTCGATTCCATTATATCATTGAGAGCCTCACTGTTGTTAACGGTGTATGCCGACTGGTTGGAAATCTGATCTGAAAGATCTTGCAGTGTTTGGGAAAGGCCAGAGAATTGGTCACTGTTGGAGCTCATAAGAGCTCCAGTTATTGCATTAGAATCGCAGGCTGGAGGAGGATCACTCACTTGATTGAGGTTAGCACTACCAATAGCTACTAGGACTAAATTTAATGCTAATATTATCACTAGCAAGCCAACAACAATGAAGCACTGGAACTTTTCATAAGGTGCACTTGCTATGTGTATCTTTCTCTGCACATCAAACTCCTGTGGATTCCCATCATAGTCGATCTCCATTTCTTCGAAATTTTTGTTTTCAGCTGCATAGTCCTGATTGGAATCCGCCATTCTTCTTTTGATCTTCTTTGCACAACTTTTGCAAGAAAAGCTCAAATAAAAAGTGGGATAACTTGAAATAAGGGTGGTATCAGAAAAGGGTGGTATCAGAAAAGGGTGGAAATATGATATGCTCACACAAACTTTAATAGGAAACATAAGCTTATTACTATGCAACATGACATGCATGTGGTAATATCTGAGAGAGGTGTGGTATTATATAAAATGTAGCTGACTCAGTCAATTACACAGTCATACTTTTAACTTGTCTCTTTGCCACTGATCTACAGTGTACCTAGATATGTTAAGGATATTGCTGGCAGTCTTTGTTCTGTTCTCTTCAGTGAGACACTCAGTCTCTTACCGTCCAGTGATTGTGATGCACGGTGTACTAGCCGGAGCATCTGACATGGACTCGTTTGTTAGTATGATCAAGACAGCTCACCCTGGTACCGAGGTAGACCAAACTGTGACGAATGGCCACTTCATTAATCATTAACCATTACCATCTCTCTCTGTTGTTGTTCGTCTCCTCTCCTTTTTCTTTCCTTTTCTTCCCCTCTCTTGTCTTGACACCTCTCCCCCTGTGCTCTAGGTGACTGATATCAGTGATTACAATGACGCTAATAGTCTTGTTAATATGAATGATCAAGTTAAAGGAGTTTATTCAAAGATGAAACCTGTAATGGATGCAGCTAAAGATGGAGTAAACCTTGTCTGCTACTCACAAGGTACATACAAGTACATTTACAACCACTGCAGTTAAGTTGAATTGAATTTACATGAAAAATTGCACAAAATTTGTAACGTCTTTATGAAGATTCTAAAATAAGCCTTTAAAATTGTCTTATGTCACCTGTATTACTTACTTGACAGTGTTACAAGGTGTTGTTGAAATTACTTGTGCCAATATTTACTCAATCATAATAATTTATTTACAACTACTATACAATTGACTTTGTCGATTAACAAAACTTTCATTTTGATATTACAAAACACTCCCATAATGCTATCGCTATCCAGGTGGTCTCGTTTGTCGTGGTGTCCTTGAGAAGTATGGTCATAATGTCCATACATTCATATCCCTCTCTAGCCCTCAGGCTGGCCAATTTGGAGGTAAAATAACAGCTGCTACAATGCATCTCATTAACGAATCCTTCCTTATAGATACAGATTATCTTAATTTCTTATTTCCAACTTTCACAAGGGACAATATATACTTGTGAGTTTTGGAAACAGAAATGAATGTATTGATAATTGAATGTTATAATTATCAATTTATTTATCATGATCATTATCTTAGGTTTTTTTATACTGATGCTGGCCAAGAGATATCAGTAGGAAACTACTGGAATGGTAATAGTGTCTTCTTTCTTTTTATATTTAACACTTCCTCTACTCTCTCTCTCTCTCTCTCTCTCTCTCTCTCTCTTCATAGACCCGTTCCATCATTCTGACTATTTGTCGAAAAACAAGTTCCTTCCCTCCATAACTAACAATGCACCACAAGGTAGCCAAATGATGATTATTATTATTAACTGAGGGATTGATATGAGCTGATGTTTTTAGAATACAAGGATAACATATTGAAACTGCAGCAGGTGGTATTTATCGGTGGACCTGACGATGGAGTTATCACACCATGGCAATCAAGGTGTGTGGGTGTGTGTGCGTGTGTGTGTGTGTGTGTGTGTGTGCGTGTGTGTGTGTGTGTGTCACAAGGTTAGTTGGTTTACTTGTCACTTCCATTTATAGTCATTTTGGTTTTTACAAGGAGAAGAGCGATTCAGAAATTGTTACCATGACAGAGCAAGAGGTAATTGTGCCACAAGTATTGTGCATGTAGTGTTGTGCAGTACTCTATTTTCTGTTTTAGTTCTAGTTTTAGTTCTACCAGTACTCCATTTCTAGTTTTAGTTCTAGTTTTAGTTTTACCAGTACTCCATTTCTAGTTTTAGTTTTAGTTTTAGTTTTACCAGTACTCCATTTCTAGTTTTAGTTCTAGTTTTAGTTCTACCAGTACTCCATTTCTAGTTTTAGTTTTAGTTTTAGTTTTATCAGTACTCCATTTCTAGTTTTAGTTCTAGTTTTAGTTCTAGTTTTAGTTCTACCAGTACTCCATTTCTAGTTTTAGTTCTAGTTTTAGTTTTACCAGTACTTCATTTCTAGTTTCAGTTCTAGATTTAGTTCTACTAGTACTTCCGTTTTAGTTTTAGTTTTAATTTTAGTTCCATGCCAAATTCTGATTCTGGCCTTATAGTTCTAGTTTTAGTCCTACTAATACACCATTTCTAGGTGATTTTTATAATTTTTTTTAATGAAATTTAATTTAAATAACTTAAAAGGGTAGCATTTTAGTTCTAGTTTTAGTTTTAGTTATTCAAAAGGGTACCATTTTAGTTCTAGTTTTAGTTTTAGTTATTAAAAGGGCTCCATTTTAGTTCTAGTTTTAGTTTCAGTTATTAAAAGGGTAGCGTTTTAGTTCTAGTTTTAGTTCTAGTGATTTACAAGTGCACATTTTAGTTTTAGTTTCAAGTTCTTAATAGCTAAATCTTTAGTTCTAGTTTTAGTTCCAGTGCTTTAATTTGTCAAATTCTAGTTTTAGTTCTAGTTTTGGTTTTTTGTATCAATGTAGTTCCGTTCTAGTTCTAGTTCTTGGAACTAGAACTAGGAAGAAAATAGGTGTACTAAAATAGATTTAGTTCTAGTTCCGTTGGAACTAGCACAACACTATGTGCATGGAAGCAAGCATGTTATAATGTTCATGAGATTGTTTTCACCAACTTGCATGAATGGCTGCTGGCTCTTATTAAAGCTTTTAGAGGTTCCCTTCTAATGCTTCTAGAGAAGTCTTTTGGGGTGTCTTTTGATGCCCTTATGTTGTGTAGAAAGTTTGAGCTGATTCCCACTTCAATTTTTCAAGTTATGGCCATTTTAAAAAAGTGCCAAAATCTTGAAAAGTACCCAAGGCTATAGCCCATGGTTTTTTCCAAAAAATGGCTCCGAAATCACCCCCACTTTTTATTACATTTTCTGATACATATTGATGTTCTTATGCTGTGTAGAAAGTTTGAGCTGATTCCAACTTCAATTTTTCAAGTTACGGCCATTTTAAAAAAGTGCCAAAATTCTGAAAAGTACCCAAGGCTATAGCCCATGGTTTTTTCCAAAAAATGGCTCCGAAATCACCCCCACTTTTTATTATATTTTTTGATACGTATTGATACCCTTATGTTGTGTAGAAAAGTTTGAGCTGATTCCGACTATAAATTTTTTGACTTTCTGTTAAAAAATGGAACTTAACTTTTTATTGCTCTTAGTGCCATCTATCGAACTTATGGCCTTTATGAAACTAAAAAAAATAAAATTTAAACTTACTGTTCTTGTTCTCACTTTTGAGGTGTGAACAGATCATTGAAAAGGTGACAACAGCTAATATCAAGCTAATTTTAGCTCACCTCTAATCTCTAACAAGATACCTTTCTAATAAGCTATTTCTTGTTACTTCCACTAGTACTACACTAATGACGTAATAGGACTCCAAACACTCAACAATGCCGGTAAAATTAAAGTGTACGAGATACCAGGAGTTGAGCACACTCACTGGCACACCAATCAGACCGTGTTTAATGATGCCATCATACAGTGGCTGGACTAGCACTGAACTCTGTGTGTTGTATTTTATCACTTTAAAGCTAAATTTGTTACACGTTTCATAGTTTTTGTCACATTTCATTTATTCTTTTTCTTTATTTTATTTTTTATTAGCTAAAGTATCTGCAGTTTAAAAAAACTTCATTTCTATTAAAAAAATGAATGCAAATGCAATACTGAGAAGTTAATACGTAACATAACACACTATATTGTCAGAGATAGATACTGATTCATGCTAACACACAAATGATTGAGTTACATTAATAATAGTACTGCTATTCTGATTCACACACACACACACATGTTAAAAGCGTTTAAGCTTGTGCTTTATTTTGAGGTTCCACTTGATTGTGAAGCTGTCTTTGGGCGGGAAGTGCTGTCTCTGTGAAAGAGGACAGGAGATCCTCTTGACATTGAAGGGGCTCTGTTACTCATTGCCAGCCTTGAACCAACCATGTAATCAGTTGTACCTTTCTCCTAATATAACAACAATAAAATTAAAGAAACAAAAAATAATAAATAAATAAAGAGAAAAGAATCATTCGGTAGAGCAACAAGAAATTACCTGTAGGTGCTCTTCAATTTGTTTCAGAGCTATCTTGACCGGATTTGGCTCTTTCTTAGACTTAAACTTGTTAGTCACTTTCGTTGCACGAGTCTTCTTCCTGATCTCGTCCTCTCTCAGTCTAACAATGAATTTCAATCATACCACACACACTGCTACACTCATGCAACCATCATTTTCAATAATAATAATATTAACAATAGAGACTAAAAATCATTATGCAATTAGAAAAAAAGAAAGACAAAAATTACAAAATTAAGGACCTGTAATATGCTACAAAAGGTGCTACATTACAGTGCAGTGTGCTTTAGCTGCTAAGTGAGGCATGGATAGAATGAGGAGGGGCTACGGCTACTTGTGTCAATGTGTGTATGAGTCTCTATTAGTGTATGCCACTGCTTCTATCATCCATTATGTCTTGAAGCCTCTTCAACAAGAGCTCGTAGTATTTGAGGCGCTCTTTGAGAGCCGACATTCCTTGATGAAACTTCTTTTTCTTTTTACGTTCGCACTCTAGTATCCTAATACACACATACACACACACACGGTACATGTAATTAATTGTAACTGAAATATTATAATAGCAGTACGGGCAGCAGGAAACACACAGCAGTAATGTGTTAATAATCTTTTTATGTGTACAAAATGTATACATTTGTTTTTGGACTTACTTCTGTAACAGATTGTGGACATCTTCTGGTGGAACTGAAGGGAATTTTCTCGCACCGACTGTAGTGAGTTCACTGATGTAGTCGGTCCACGCTCCTCCGGAGCCTTCGTAAAACATTTTCAATAACTGCAGAGAAGAGAAGAGAAGAGGTAACAGGAGATGGAGAGTAAGGGTAGCTCAAGTGTAAGATAAGCTAACCTGATTGAGTCTAGCAAAGATGGGGTCGGCCATTCCTCCAGTGTGCCCATTACCTCCTTCTCTGAGGCAGGGTATCATCTGGCTGGCCGTGTTCCTCACAAAATCTATAAATAAAAATTAATAATAATAACAATAATAATAATAATAATAATAATAATAATAATAATAATAATAATAATAATAATAATAATAATAATAATAATAATAATAATAATAATAATAATAATAATAATAATAATAATAACAACAACAACAACAACAACAACAACAACAACAACAACAACAACAATAATAATAATAATAATAATAATAATAATAATAATTCTGCATTACCTTCAAGATACTTCACATCAACTCCAAAACTTCTGAGACCCTCCATACTAACACGCTGGACCTAACCATGAGTAGAAAAAAAAGCAAAAATACCTACACATAATATTTATAACTATTGATCATTACTCTATCAGAGAGAAGAATCCTCTCCATCAAACCAATGAGATGCTGTATGATGTGAATACAGAGATCATCAATAATCTTAGTCTGTAGAAGGAAAATGACAAAAGAGCATTTGTACATCTAGCTTCATCTATTTCCTTACTGGAGTGGCTGACAGTAATTCAAAAGTTGATTTCATGAACCGAATGACGTCTCCAAGTGCACCAGTGGGTTCTTTAATAGGCTCCTTTGGAGTCCAGTCGTAGACCACACCTTCCATCAACTCACTGATCTGATCCTCGAGTTTAGTGGATATTTTAGCCTGAGTGCTTTGCTTTGCATCCTAAGGAAGAGGAGGGAGGGAGGGAGAGAGAGAGAGAGGGGAAGGGAGATCTGTTAATTATATAAGTACAAAACCTCCTCACTTTGAAGACAGAGAACCCATAAAGCCGAGACTGGACTCCAGCAGCATCAGACCGAGGTACTCTAAAAATTAATAATATAAAATTGTTAATAATAAAACATAAAATTAATAATAATAATTAATACTGACTTGGTGACAGAAGCTATGTACATGTCCAAATCCTCTTCAGCTTCCTCCCACTGGTCTAGATTAACCCACAGCTGGACCAGCTGGAGAAAAAAGAGGAAATAATGGTTATTGTGCTTGTGATTTTAATAATTATTATTTATTAATTTTAAAAATGAATTTAAACCTGTCTGATGGTCAACTTGTCTTTAGTAATTAGAGTAGCCAGACAACCTGTAAAGAAACAATAATGATAGTAACAATGGGATAATAAAGTAATAATAAAAATAATAATAATAATAATAATAATAATAATAATAATAATAATAATAATAACAATAATAATAACAACAACAACAATAATAATAATAATAATAACAATAATAATAATAATGAGTAGAGTATTAATAATAAACTAACCGCTGAGTGATTTGGTGAGTAGTAGATTAACTGATCTACGAACAGCTTGATCAATCTCAGTACGACTGAAGAAAGAGCATTAAAAATGTAATAAAAATTTCAAGCAAACATGAAATATTTTTTAAAAATTGGTTCGCTTTTTAAAATAACTGTAGCTTGAAAAATTGAAGTCAGAATCAGCTCAAACTTTCTACACAGCATAAGTACATCAATATGTATCAGAAAATGTAATAAAAATTGGGGGTCATTTCGAAGTCATTTTTTGAAAAAAATCATGGGCTATAGCCTTGGGTACTTTTCAGAATTTTGGCACTTTTTTTAAAATGGCCGTAACTTAAAAAATTGAAGTCGGAATCGGCTCAAATTTTCTACACAGCATAAGAACATCAATATGCATCAGAAAATGAAATAAAAAGTGGGGGTCATTTTGGTGCCATTTTTCGGAAAAAACCATGGGCTATAGCCTTGGGTATTTTTCAGAATTTTGGCACTTTTTTAAAATGGCCGTAACTTGAAAAATTGAAGTCGGAATCAGCTCAAACTTTCTACACAGCATAAGAACATCAATATGTATCAGAAAATATAATAAAAATTGGGGGTGATTTCGGAGCCATTTTTTGGAAAAAACCATGGGCTATAGCCTTGGGTATTTGTCAAAATTTTGACATTTTTAATGTAAATAAAAATTAGAAAAAATAATAAAACCTTAAATTGAGCCTGTCAGAATATCCCCAACTTGAGCTAATGAAAGATTTAATCTAAATAAAATAAAATAAAATAAAATAAAATAAAATATATACATGTTTATACACCGACTCACTTGTTCATATATCTGTATAACCATAGAGGAGAAGGGGAGTTTTTTAGGAAACGGCTCGTGATGAATCTGAAGGTCCTTGTAATTGAACATCTCCATGATACCTTGAAAGTGCTGATCAGTCTCCACTATCACTGGAGTATAGTCATCAGTCGCAAGGAGATTCCTAAATAAAGGGAACCATTGATTGATTTGAATCAAAAGTGTCTGTCTGATTACTTGAAAGCATCAGCATTTGTTTTCATAAGAAGTTCATCATAATGTTCCCTAAGAGAAGAACAAACAAGAAAGAGGTTAAAGCATGTACAGTAGGTTCAACTTGTAGTCTTTACCTTATCTCAAGTGCTACCTCATACAACTTGTCATTATTAAATCCATAGCCCTATACACAGTGAGATAATAAGGTCAGTACACATTCCAATAATGGTATCTATTCTCTGCATTGCAATTGAATTTATACAAAAACAAGGAGTTGCTTTAAAATTATGACCAAAAGCCTCCCCACATACTACAGGAAGCTACTAGGTGTTACATGCAGTATAAGATAGATAGACACAGTAACAATGCTTGTTTCTCCTCACTTCCATACTTACCATAACAGTATGGCAAAACCAAACTATCAATTGCTTTATTTTCAGTAAAAGATGATTATCTTGGCAATGTAACTATAGACAATTAAAAAAAACAAAGGAAGCTGAAATAATAATAATAATAATAATAATAATAATAATAATAATAATAATAAACACATCTGGAAAAATTATCAAAACTTAAGAGCTGTCAGTGAGTAAATTCACAATAAATCATGCTTTCATTTCTACAAAAGTCAAAACTCTTGTGCATAGCCATCAAAATGAACAAACAAATAAGTCTAACAAGAATTTCATGCAATTATTTATCTTACACAATGATGCCTCAGGACTGAAAGCATTTCAGATGTAGCCATTTCCCAAAACTCATCGAGGACCTGCTGAGACATAAGACCTTGCTCAGTCTCGTCTTTATGACCACCAGAGCTGCTCTGACAGGTGTGTAATATTGTATCTTCAACAACAAAGAATCTAAAAATGATGGCAAAGTGTAGTAACAGATCCATTGACATGGAGGTCTAATAATTAATTACCCGACTATTTGGAAGAAATAGCGCTTGAATTCTTGTATGTCATCAACCTAAGAAAAGAGAAAGAGAGAGACAGAGAGAGAGAGGGAGAGAGAGAGAGAGAGAGAGAGAGAGTGGAAAGAGATGTGAGGTCATGTGCACTTTTGTTGGAGGCTTAATGGCCAATCTGAGCTGCTGTCTCCTTTCATTTCTATAATCATCAATAAAATGATCTCTTCTTCCCTACACATACATATACACACATACAGCTAAATAATTTATAACTTTACCAGAACAAAGTGAATGTGCAGACATCTGTAAACTGGAGAGAAATCAACAATGTCTTGAGTAGAAGCTGTTTCCACTTTAATGGACTCATCCTTCAACAGCAACTGACGCACATTGCTTGATAATTCTAGTCTAGCTAATCTCTGAACCTTTAGAGTTAATGTGAAATATTTAATAAAGTTTAAAGACATGTAACATCTTCATCTCTCTTCATCCTTTCTCCCCCCCCTCTCTCTCTTTCCTCCTTTTCAATTATATGGTATAGTACCTGATGCATAGCTACTTCTCCAATTACAACAGACACATCTCTCACTTTAGTCAAATACTCCTACAAAATAGCAACACAAAAAAATTAATGGAACACGTAGCTCATCAAAATAATGATTTTTGTGCAGAAATACTGTGGTATGTATCTCTTGTTATTGTCATTATATGCAATAGCAAATAAAATATTTCATGCAGTGCTATATATTCAAGTTATAGCATGCAAAAGTTATTATCAAACATTGCAGCATAGTTTTAGTCAGTAGTCCCGACCGGATTCGAACCACTGACCACATCTATGCAATCCATACTGCATAAGTTGCTGCTTTGCAATGCAATTCTATATCATTATTTGACTAAATCAAAATTTTATTTGACAAAAAAAATGATAGAGAAAAAGTCTTACATGAAATAGACTACAAAAATAAAATGTCCTACTAAAAACAATGTCCTATACTACTACTAGTTTCTAAGCCTAATGCTTTCAGTTAGTTCCTTTTCTTCAATTATTGACTTCTTCTTCTTCTTGAGCTGGAGCATCATCTTCAACTGGAAAATTCTCTGCAGGCTCTTCATTTTCAATTGGAGCCTCCTCTTCATTGGTTGGGTTATACTCCTCCATTGGCAGCTCCTCATTATCTGCAGATTCTAGCATAACTTGAGTTGGCACAGGATACCACGTGGCATCATTCCTGTAGAGGTTAGTGTTACAAAACTTGCTAATCTTCACCCTGTATCCCTGATGCCTCATGTAATGCCTACGGTAATTGAACGACTCAAAAGTGTATCCATAAGGATCAGCAAGGCCAGGTACAGGTATCCATGATGCATCATTCTTGAAGAGGGTAGAACCATCACACTTATGAATGTAGCACAACTTCACAAGTATCCATAGTGACGAATGTAGTGTCCAGGAAAGTTCTTGGACTCAAAACTGATAGTACCACGTATTTTATTCAGGCCAGGAACAATTTTGAAGGAGCTGTCAGCACGGTAGAGTGGCCTACTGTCGCTGCGATCAAGCCACATCTGGTAGCTTCTGTGACGCATGAAGTATCCAGGATAGTTCTTGGACACAAATCTAAAAGTTTTACCAATTAAGGTTGAACCCCTAATGGCATTGGAAGGAGGCAGGAAAACAGCAAGGGAAAAGAGTGCAAGACACAAGACTATACTATAGAGTGAGCTTCATGACTGAATCTTCTCTGCAATTGATTCTCTTTTCTTGTTTCCACTGTAATACTGATGTCTCTCAGCCTCCAGCTGCTGTTTTTATAGCAAGAAAAAAGGAGGAAAAGGAAGACTTTCTTCCAAGGATTGCCAGAAGAAAATGCCTTGATGCAATAAAATAAACAAAACAATCAAAAAATACTCGCTGGGAGTATGTTAGTTGCATAGAAAATGTAACTCATCAGTACTATGTAGTAACTATAAAATGATAATGAAGAAGAAATTGTAATTGATCTTTGCACAAAAATATTGTAGCTATTTTGCTATTGTTATTACATTGGAAAATATATCATGAAATAATTTTCATGCAGCCAAGTAAATGACTGCACTTATATGGGTGCATTCACGCGTTGCAATGCAATTGGAGCTATGCTAATATCATTATTAGCATCTCTTGACAGAATCAAAAATTCTAAAGCAATAAATTATGGCATAATGATGTTTATGCAGAAATATTGCAGCATGTATCCTTTGCTAATGTTATTATATGCAATAACCAATGGTAGCTTGCAAAAATTTTATGCAATACATGTAAGTTTAAAGAGCCATTATACTCAAGCTATATATACAGTAACATGATACGCATAAGTTGCTGCTTTGCAATGCAATTCTATATCATTATTTGACTGAATCAAAAATTCATTTTGACATAAAAATGCTAGAGATGAAATACACTACAAAATAAAAAGTCCTACTAAAAATAATGTCCTATACTACTACTAGTTTCCATAAGCCTAATGCTTTCAGTTAGTTCCTTTGTTCAATAAAGGTGAGCTGGAGCATCTTCTTCCACTGGAAAATTCTCCATAGGCTTTTCATTTTCAATTGGCTGAGCCTCCTCTTCATTGGTTGGGTTATACTCCTCCATTGGTAGCTCCTCACTATCTGCAGATTCTAGCATAACTTGAATTGGCACAGGATACCATGTGGCATCATTCTTGTAGAGGTCGGTGTTTTGAAATGAACTAATCTTCACCCTGTATCCCTGATGCCTCATGTAACACTTACGGTAATTGAACGACTCAAAAGTGTATCCCAAAGGATCAGCAAGACCAGGTACAGGTATCCATGATACATCTTTCTTGAAGAGGGTAGAACCATCACTTTTATGAATGTAGCACAAGTATCCAGAGTGACGAATGTAGTGTCCAGGAAAGTTCTTGGACTCAAAACTGACAGTACCATGTCCAATCAGACCAGGAACAATTTTGAAGGAGCTGTCAGCTCGGTAGAGTGGCCTGCTGTCACTACGATCGAGCCACATCTGGTAGCTTCTGTGACGCATGAAGTATCCAGGATAGTTCTTGGACACAAATCTAAAAGTTTTACCAACTAAGTTTGAAACCTTAATGGCATTGGAAGGAGGCAGGAAAACAGCAAGGGAAAAGAGTGCAAGACACAAGACTAGAGTGACCTTCATGACTGAATCTTCTCCGCAATTGATTCTCTTTTCTTGTTTCCACTTTAACACTGATGTCTCTCAGCCTCCAGTTGCCGAGTTTTTATAGCAAGAAAGCAGAGGATTGCTTGAAGGAAATGTTTTGATTTTAGTGTACTTTCAGATCATAATACAGCTGCTTCAGTATCTAAACCGGTTTGATTATCTCAGACCAACTACTACCTGAAGCCCTGTTTGCACTATGCCCTCAAAGCAGTTTGGAACCGGTTTAGAAATAAACCAGTTTAGTGTGGACAATTTCAATGCAAACCGACTTATCTAAAGCCCTCCATACTAGCAACATGTTGCCTAGTGTATGGAGGCCTTAAACCACCTCAGGTAATAGGTGGCTACAATATGGTAGCATTATAAACTGATTTAACCACAGTTACATGTGAACACAATTAGTAAAGGTTATACAAAAAGGCGGAGGTATCTATTGCCTTCACAATTATCATACTGAGGGCTGTAGGCCTGAGGTTGATAAGGCCATAAATAGTTGTATAACCAACTTCTACCATGCCTAGTTGTAATTGACCAATTAGATTGCTTCATAAATAACTGATTTACCACTAGGATGTAATAAGTACATTCCCAGGCAATTAGAGGTTAATAAGGTTCATTAGAGGTTGATAATCCTTGATAAGGATTATCAATTTTTATTTTTATAATAGCACAATGTGGTAAGGTTGAGAGCAAGAGATGATTAGAGTGTTTCCAATGACTCAGAGGGTCTGTCTTTTGAGCGACCGCCATTGCTCTGAAATCAATACCACTGGTCTGTTGTAGTGTATTGATGTCTATAATGGATAGAGCATCTGCTACTGGGCTGTTTGAACCTTTCACATGTCTGACCTTAGTTGTGAATTGAGAGATGACAAGCTTTTGATGGTGTGTAACAGGTAGAGTAGCCAAAGAGAATGTGAGAGGTTTGTGATAGGTAGAAACATAGAATATCCTGCCTTCAATGAATTGACAGAAGTGTTTGATTGAAAGGTAAGTGAATACCAAATACAGCACATTTCAAAGAGTACTCTTAGCAGCTAGTAACTGTCAGTTCCTTCTTAAAAATAGGAAATTGTAAGTTGGTTGTCAGGAGTCATCAAAAAATTGAGGGAAACTGTAATTTTGGATGTGACAACATTGTTGCTTAACTTTGATTGCTTTAAAGGCTGTTGATGCCACTGGGTCTGAGGTTAAGTTTAAACACTTGAATTTTAACATAGATAAATAATAATAAAGCAATAGCCAAAGAGCTCGCAATATTTCATGTATAACAAGTCTGTAAACTGCATCACTGAATCAAAATACATCAGAAAAAGTCATACATAAAATTGCTACGAAATGTCTACTAAATTATAACTAAATTCCTCTTGAGTTTATTTGTCTTTCACTGGAATATGGTCCAGTTCTTTTGCAATTGGAATCTCTTTTCCATTGGCAAGGTGATTAGCTATTAGAGTCTCGTCATTATCTGCAGATTCTGACAAAACTTTTGAAACTGGTAGAGGATACCAGGTGGCCTCATTCCTATAGCTGTGAGTATCTTTAAAGGGGCTAATCTTTAACTTGAAATCCTCAGGCCTCATAAAATACCCAGAGTGCTTAAAAGACTCAAAAGAGAGTCCATAAGGATCAGCCAAACCTTGTCTTGGTATCCATGATGCATCTTCTCTGAGCCAAGAGCTACCATCGTAAATCCTGTTAAGCATGCACTGCCAGACTTTACCATAATAAATGAGGCTATGAACATAGACTCCATAGTTCGTACTACGTTCAAAGCTAATAGTACCTTCTCCAGCAAGACCACGAACGATTTTTATGTCAGTAACATAACGGTAGTGCTTTGAATTCTCTCCGGTAGAATTAATCCACATGTATTGATCCCTGTTAAGAATATAATACCCAGGATTAGCCTTGTATAAGATTCTAAAATTTCTACCAAATAAACTCGAAGGGTCTACAGGTTTGGCAGGAGCTAACAAAGGCTTACGAGAAGAGCGAGCAAGACAGAGCATTACAGTGAGTTTCATATTTGGATTTCTTAATAATTCTTTGCTTTACTAGCTTTAGAGTTTTTATAGAAAGAAAAAAAGGAAGGAATTCCTGTTGTGATTTAATAATGGGCAAAACCCTGAGGGTGGTAGTCTATCTGTCTGTCTCTAATCTCATGAGTTTGTCTGACTGTCTGTCTGCTTGTGCTCAAGGACAGGAAGTAGGATTGAGTATACACATTATTTATTCCTTAAGAAGGAAAACCATACAATGATAATCTATTTCCTGCCTGTCACCTTTTGCCTTTCTTCTGTATATTTCATCACAATGCAGCTGTTATATGACTTCTCTGCATAATGCTGCACTCTTGCTATCACATGGAGCAAAGCTAGCTCCATAAAGTTTAAATGCACAAAGTAAATGCAGTGTTAATATATAGTATAAGATACATAGTAGAGCTCCATTAAACATTAAAAATAGAGCCTTGAAAGCAAAATGATAGCAAAAATTGCACACACTGCATTTACATGCAATAGATGCAGAGCAAGTTCCTCCTTTATAGTTGACATTTGACTGAATCAAAAGTTTTATTTGCAATAAAAAAAGACAGAAAAATTCCTACCATAAAGCTAACACTAATAAAAAGTCCTATAAAATTGAAAGTCCTATGCCATATATAGCACTACACTATCAGCCTAATGCTTTTAGGTAGTTTCTAATTTTCTTCAATAATGAAACCTTTCTGGAACTTCTTCTTTAGCAATAGGCTGCTCCATCTCCATCTCTCCATAAGGACTGTTGCCATATTCTGACGCAACTTGTGCTGTGCTTGCTGGACAGGTGGCACAAGCTTCAACAGGATACCACGTGGCATCATCCTTATACAACTCAGAGTTCACAAATTCGCTAATCTTGATCCTGGATCCCTGGTGCCTCAGGTAACACTTACGATAATTGAAAGACTCAAAAGTGAATCCATAAGGATCAGCAAGACCAGCTACAGGTAGCCATGTTGCATCTTTCTTGAAGATACCAGACCTGTCATTCCGCCCAATGTTGCACTCACCTATATGATTGTGACGAATGTAGTGCCCAGGAAAGTTCCTAGACTCGAAACTGATTCCTTCTCCAGCCAGACCTGGGACGATGGTGAAGTCGCTGTCAAGACAGTAGAGGTGTGAAATATCATGAGCATCGAGCCACATCTGGCTGTCCCTATGACGCATGTAGCGTCCGGGATAATTCTTTGATGTGAATCGAAAACTTTTACCAATCAAGCATGAAGGTGCTGTAGCACTGACCGTAGCAGGTAACAGTGTTACAAAGGAAGTGAGGGCAAGAAAGAGCATCATATTGAGCTTGTTCATATTCTGTAGAATACTGAACTAAATTGAGTCTTTCTTCGTCTGATTTGTTGATGTTTCGTCACCCTTTGCTCTCGGGCTTTTAAAGCAAAAGAACATGAAAGTGAAACAAGACGAAGAATGAAGGAAATATTTTGGTCCATAATTACTCATTATAACATTAAACCTATTTAGGTCTGATCCTTGAAAATACAAAAATGACTTGAAAAGACTGTTTCTAAAACACTTTCTTTAACCAAAGCCAAATTTGATAAGAACCTGCAAACAAGCCTGACCAGACTAGCCACAAGAATGTGCATAAAAAGAATAACAATATCCCAATATTATTCCATTACTTAAACAACTTAGCTCTGGAGCAGACTGACGCCAGTCAATAAGTATAATAATTCTATCACAGACAAGAAGATGTACGCATGCATGCACTACACCTACAATAGTAATAATACAACTACTGCTAGCAGCAGCAGCATAATGAAGAAGTGTACATCACAGATCACATGATACATAGCAATAGTAAGGTAAGATGGAAAAAGGTGATGCAAAGATTTTCACTTTAAAATACACGTATGTACATGTACTCATGACACTATCATTATTACTTGTACATGTACATTCTCTTCTCTTCCCTTCTCTCTCCTCTACCTTAAGCTCAGACATTGATTGTTTCTGAATAGAGTCCCTCATCCTTGGTATCTCTTCCGCCAGGAGCTCAGAGAATATATATCCTCTCACTCGAGGGAGATGAATATGCTCCAGCTGCTCGAGCGTTTTTAAAGCGGAATAATAATGCCTCTCTTTCATTAGATTCTGGAGTTTACCATACATCTCAAGAACTAATAAAGAGAATGAATGATGAGGTTATAGAATAGAGTAATGTCAGGCAATATGAAGCATAATAATTACCATGCACTGTGTACCATAATACAGTGTAATTAATAATTACTATGAACTGTCTAGTGTACCTGGAATGCAGAGGGTTAGTGTCTCAATGGTTGACGTTATGTTGTTCTGAATGGCACGGGATGTGTGGAGATCCTTAAGATCTTTTAAAAGCTAAAAAATAAAATAATAACTCATTGCATGTCCATATAATTGTAAGGAAATAGAATACATGTACACATTGATCAATGGATCTCACTGTAGACAGTATTACTGTACGTACTGTACCTCATTCCCACTGTCTTGTATCCTCTTGTCAGCTTCCATTACTTTGCTCTTGAGCTTGTGAGCTTCAGACTTCACCTTCACCAAGTGAGTGACAGACTCTATAAAACCCTACACAAACAAAGACATTAAAAATATTCTAAAAGAAAATAATTTTAAAAATAATTTCTGCAACCTACACATGTACATCAGTACACACCCACGCAGTTAATTAGGTAGTTGAGATGCCATACCTGATAGTTCTTGTTACACATTCTTTCAATGTCTTTCTCGTGTTGCTTGATCCTTCCTGAAAGACTAGAAAGGAAATCATCTTGATCTTTATCATCATACAGCGACCTACAGAAGACAAAAGAGGAAGAGATAAAATTAAGTTTAATTCATCATAAAACTTGAACATGCAGTACTCAAGTAAGCATACATGTGCATTATAAGAAAATTTTATTGCATTAGTATATGAACAGGAATATCATATATTCCAAGTACTATTGCATTCTGTGTATGGTAGGCAACCAAGAAAGTGTGAATATCATTAGATTGGTGATAATGATAACATGTGAATATCATTTGGTAAATGCTTCCAGTTAAGAAACCACTTCAGTAGAATGACATTAATAATAAACAATGTGCTTCTCTGTATAAAAGAGTGACAAAATTAACAGTTGTTGCGCAACAAGCAACTCATTTCATCAGAGACAGAGCTTAAAGAGAAAGAAGAGAAAGACAACCAGGGAAAGATGCCAGGAAAGGAAAAGAAAGTGCCAACAACTCAGCCAGCTATTGACAGGGTTGAGAGGAAGCAGGAAGAGAACCCAACCCCAGAAAGACAGGAACAGCTTGAAAGAATGAAAAAAGCATTAGAGAAAAATGAAGGGAAAAACTGAAACACTGTACATGTAGTTACGTGTACGTTGATTGCTATAAACTTGACTGCTGCATACATGTACATGTATTATATACAATGTATCATAGTATTATTGCTAATTCTGCTAGTGCTGGTCACAATTATTATGCTACTTTTAAATTATAATTAGTCAAAAGCCAATCTCTCTTGCTACACTGTATTTCCAATAATAATGAACTAATACAACATGAGATATTCCACATAATGCAACGTTTGCATCTCACAGTCTGTTATTAATAATAATAATATGACAAGGTCTATGAATATACAATTACAATTAACCTATGAATATCATTAATATGTCTTACACATAAAAAATCTCAAAATGCAATTTCCCATTGAAATAGACACCTAACTGCTGTATAGGGTATAAATAAGAGACAGGGCTAGTACCAAACCATCTCTCCTGAACTGGGAATAGAGGAAACACAAAAAACTACTCGAAACTACTCTCTATCTTGACAAAAGAAGCTATACTCTTTACTACAAAAGAAGCTACTCTTTACTACAAAAGATGTCTGACTCTGGAAAGAAATTAATGACAAAGGACGATGCTTCACGCATTCAAAGTACTGAAGCGAAAAAGAATGACGGAAGGGTTGAAAAAGGTTCCTGGGCCGCTAAAGCTCAAAGTGCAGCTGATAAAAATGTCAATAAAGGACTCACTTCGCCACCAGGAGATGGAGGAAAGTGATAGGATTCTGTCACAGGTGTAGCTGCAGCAAGAGCTAGCAGGCTGAATACTTTGAACTAACTTTTAACTTGTGTGTTTGTCCATTAGTAGTTTGTTATAGCTTTGTTATTGCTAGGCTTTCATTTTAATTAAATATTATCTTAACTAAAACAACACACTAAAGTTTATTTCCTGCTACTATAAATTATGAATATAATTAAGAGAATTACGGTAGTCTCCTTGAATAATAGCCACCCATATAAGGTATGCTATGAATAGTTATTCATTTATAACAACTTAGCTTCATTCAATAGAAAAAAAATCCCCTTATAAACAAGAAGTTGTCTTAACTAGAAAAGATGTCTGATTCTGGAAAGAAGACTTATATGAGTCAGCAAGCAGCTGCTCGTATTCAAAGTAGCCAAGCCCCAAAGACAGGTGGTCAAACGCCCAAAGGATCCTTTGCCGCCAGAGCTCAGAGTGCTGGTGATACTAACACCAATAAAGGATACACGCCACGTTATGGAAGTGGAGAGAAGTGGTAGGACAAGGAAGAGATGCTGCCTGACTAAATAACTTAACTGTCTCTGTGTGTAGTGTGTAGTGTGTCCATTAGCAGTTTATTAGAGTTCAAGTATCATTGTTATATCAAGAGTACTCTCATCATTGTTATTGTTAAGTTTTCATTAAATAAATAATTATTATTGTTTTAGCTAAAATTGTTATGACTCCACCCACCTCATTGATAAAGGTCAATATAGCAAGAGTTTAAACATAGCCTGTACTGATAATACAAATTGTGAAAAAAATCAGGTCAAAGACCAAATTTTGTCAAAAATAAAAAGGCAAGAATTCTACATTTTTATACGTTTTTCTGATACATATACATGTTCCTATGTTGTGTTTCAAGTTTGAGCTAATTCCGATTGAAATTGGATTTTTTATGAATTTTTAAAGTTGCTCCAAAATCAGGCCAAAGACCCTGTACTATAGTACATGGTCTCGGACCAAATTTTGACAAAATTGAAAAGTAAAGAATCCTCGATTTTTATAATTTTTCCTGATACATATACATGTACTTATGTTGCGTAGAAAGTTTGAACTGATTCCGATTAAAATTAGATTTTTTATGAATTCTAAAAATTAGGCCAAAGATCAAAAGAGGCATTGGAACGGTTAATAAGTAGTGTTACTGAAGTTATAGATACTTCCATACCTAATAATAGCTCCAAGTTGTCCTTCACTGGATTCTAGTTCAGTCATGAGCCGATCATGAGCAGTTGGGTAGGGAATTGTCCCTCCTGATGTTGTACTCCTTACTTCATCAATGTGGCTAGCCATTTTCTTCCCTATCTCTAAAAAACTGGCGATATAAACAAAATTCCTCCTTCTCAAGTGGCAGCCATGTTTTGGCCCCGCCCATAAAATAGAGCCACACCTACTAAATATTTATTCATTAGGGTGGCTACATTGTGTACATACACTTCCAATGCAGTTTAAACCACCTCACTAGTCAGACTACCTCAGGTAGGGGTGGCTGCTACACTTCCAATGCACTTCAGGTAGGGTGGTTTAAACCACTCCAGCTGCCTGAAGTGGTTCAAACTGCATTGGAAGTGCACAGTACACATGTAAACATCTAAACTGGTTTTAAACTTCTTTAATTAAAGGGCATCGCCTATATATATAACCATAAACCAGTTTGACCTGATGTAAGTGGGCTATATCTCATGTATCATCATATCTGCATTGGAAGTGTTCACATAGATATAGCTGATGTCATGCTAAAACTTAAACTTGTTTGACCTGGGGTGGTATAAACTGCCAAACTGGCTTGTTTCTAGACTGGTTGTAGGGTATGGTATAAATAGCTACCCCTGACCATTGATCACTATTCTGCTGAAAAGAGACTACTCCAAACCTATACGAAAGCTACCTTAACTTGAAAAGATGCCGTCTGATTCTGGAAAGAGAAAGCCCACAAGTCAAAAGGCTGCTACAAGTCACGTGGAAGCTCCTGCAAAGAATGGTAGTAAGGCTGAGTCAGGTAAGGCTCCTAAAGGATCAACTGCTTCTAAAGCTCCAACTAGCTCTGGTGGAAAGAAAACTAAGAAAGGAAGCGCACCAACTCACGATGATAGTGAGAAAAAGTGACTAATGGCCGGATCAGACACAGAAGAGTTAACTGACACTGAATAACCTTTTATCCACTTTCACTGTCTTACACTTATTAAGTCTTCATGTATTGGTCTTATGTACATGTATTTCTCCATTATAATTACATAATTATTACCATTTTGATTATTATTGTGTTTACATTGTTAATTTTTGTTAAACTAAAGAAGAAATGAATATTATACAAGTTTATAAATCAAATGTACATTAACGCTTTAGTGGTGGGTGCATGGGACACTGGGATAACACACTTGAATTAGTCTTGCGGATTAGCTTGGTTGATCTTGAACAATATGGATTAGAGAAGCCTTGAATAGCTCTTGTACATGCACATACTAAATGGTGCATGTACCTTGGTATCTATGGGCCTATGGGCAAACCAGCCCAAACCTATGCTCATTTAATCCTGTCCATGAAAGAGCTAGTTTTACCAAGGTTACAATTTTTGACAAAACAATCAATCATCATGGTTAAGTCTTAAATCTTTGGTCTATTTGCATTGGTTCTTATGATTTGATTAATAGTATATTCATTCTCTGCACTAATCTCTGTCAGTCTCAGATCCAGTGTAATTAGTGTCTTATTCTCTTCTACTCCTTCCTGTAGGAGCTTACCTCCAGCCTATGTAAAAACAACATTTGTAATTATACTGCACACATACATGTACACATAATGCAAATGCATACCTCTCCTAACTGGTTGCATGTGATACTTAGCTCCTGGAGTGTTTGATTTGCTGCTAACATCTATAAGATGAGATAAGTACATGAAAAATAGCATAATACTTTAATTTGCTCACAATTTGTCTTAAAAGTACATGTACATGTGGTCTGTGGATAATAACATAAGTATTATTGCAAGGCTTACTTCAGACATTAGACTAGCTGATGGCTCTCCAAAGTCATTGCTACTGATATCAAGACTGATAAGTGTCAGGTTCCTCATTAATGCTTTGAGGACTGGTTGTATACCTTCATCTCCTAATCTGTACCATATAAGAACATAACATAGTGCATGTATGTTTGATTTTACTGTACCTGTTAAGTTTAAGGTTCAAGTGTGTAAGAGTAGTGTTGGTCTGTAGTGCATGGCCTAGTGATATCCCTCCTATTGATCCAATGCTATTATTACTGACATTCAGTACTGTTAGCACCGAGTGACCATTTATTAGTTTACCCAAAGCACGACCTGTACCATCACTTAGCTTATTGTAGGACATATCTAGAAAAAGAGAAATTAATATGTAAGTAATACCAAGTATACATGGCAGTAGTGTTTAATGCTTTCTTACCTAATGTTTGAAGGCCTGGATGATCCAGTAGATGCGATACTAAAAGTCTTGCCTTTTTGTCTTCAACTTTGCTGTGATGGATTCTCAATATTCTCAAGTGTTTGGTAGCTTTTATTGCTGCTGCTAACTTGCGACAATCTTCATCAGTAAAGTTAAAGAGCCCCCATTCAAAATTCATTCCACAATCTTTAACTCTATACATAAAAGTATGCAGCAAATTAATCTCATTTCTGTATTGCATGTATAGGCATTACCTGTAAGCAAGTTGAAGCTCTCTTAAATTTTTAAGACCTTTCAGTGGTATGGCTAAATCAATGTGATCCTGACTGGGCTTCTTTGAATCAATGTCACTCAAACTAAATGACATGCACATGCAATACAAAGTATAAGTACTGGAGCATATTAAGCTGTACATGATACCTGTCCAGGGCTTCATCTTCTTCAGGCTGTTGGGTTGATGAAGAAGGCAGTAATTGAGTTAGTTTCAGACACTTGACATAGGGACCGGATAATGACAACTGCTTTTCTAACTGCAGGATAAAAATTGAAAGTGTAACACTCAAAATAGTCATCATACTTCTTGCAAGTTTGATACATCTGGCGTAAACTGTTCAATAAGTTCTTGTATGTGTCGCTCAAAATACATTCTCTTCCAACTTTCACCATGATCCGAGACCATGCACAGTGACCACCGGTTGTGACAGCACTTCTCCCAATAGTCCTCATCCTCAATTAGCGGAGCAGTGACACTGGATAATGGGCACTCATGATTTCATTAATAATGGTGTGAGACTAACTGACTCTAGTGATACTGTAGGAGGTAGTTTTTCTAATACTCTTTGGTCATAAGGAGGCAGTAACTGTGATAGAAGTGGATTCGCTTCAAAATTATCAACAATGTGTTTCACACATAGATCAATAAGTGGAGGGACTGTCTCCAAGTTCCTAATTAAAGAAAGATTTAATTTAATTTCTACTCTGCTTAGCTGTGACATACTTATATTATTTTGCACAAAACGTATATATTCAACTATTTCAAATTCATAGTTAGTTTCTTTTTCTTACCATTCTGGATCCTCTGCTATCACTCTACGGATATTCCTAGGATCAGCATTAGGATTAACAATAGCTGCCTCTTTCTGTATTTAGATTGTATCTAAAGCATTTTAAAGCAAGTATTACTACCTTTGAAAACTCCTCCAGTTGATGGGAGCGAGTGGTCTGTGTTTCTATGGGCATTTTCAATAACACAATCCTCAATGCTGACCTTTAGCTCTGTATATGAGTTGCTATGGTAACAGAATCAGCCACGCCTACTTAAAACGTAGATCACGTGAGAAAAAGTTACTATGGTGATGATCTTCTCACGTGACTATCAGGTGAATGAAAGGGCAGCATAGGCGTGGCTCATCTTTGAGCAAGCAAATTACTTGAAATTAGCTGCTGCTGATCCTAAGGAGCCACTAAGTGGTCGTTATACAAGAGGTCATGACGACTGTAGTGGAGGGGAACGATGAGGTCGCTCGCTATTACACTACCAAGCACTCCTGGAGAGGAAAGTGAGTGGAGGTCTTTAATCTGGCGCCATTTTAATGTGATTCATATCATGTCCTGTGTAGGTATAAGCGAGTTTTTAGTGTTGGTAGTAAAGCCATTACTACACTTAATCCCGGAACTGGTGAAGTTACTAATCAGGTACATAAATAAATAAATAAATGCAAGTATTTTTGAATATTTATTATCAATTTTTCTCTCTCTCTCTGCACCTTTCTCTCCACTAGTGGCCATATAATGAGTTTGTTGATATTAATCCAAGCACCAAAACAAATAACGAATTTATGATAAGCATGAGGAAGGGAAGGAAGGTGACACAGATGACATTCTCAACTGAGCACCGTGCAGAACTTATCACCGAAGCTTTGGTAAATTTTGCTCTTTGTTTTCCTTTTTATCACCGATGTATTAATAATTTGAATGAAAATGTGCAAATTATATAATTGTTAGTTTAGTAAACGAATAATTCACAATAGCACAATAATCGCTTTCCTTTAATTTTACTCTCTCTCTCTCTCTCTTCTTCACTAGCGATGGTCTCCATTATTTGCTGATGCAAGTAAAGCTAAAACAGAAAAGGTACATCCTAATACTTCATTATTAATAGTTTTTATTAATTATTTGTAGCGTTTCAAAGCTATCAAGTACAGGTGGAACGAGACTAGAACTGATGTTATCTTAATAGTAAGATAAAGTACCTGTAACTACTGTCATATTTACTTCCTTTTCATCTCTCCCTCTCTCTCTCTCTCCAGGCAAGAAGACATTGCTTAAGTCAGGTTGATACCACTGGTCGTAAGCTTTGTGATTATGATTATAAAGACATTGAATTCTTCTGCAAGGTACAGTATATAACTTATTATTATTATTATTATTATTATTATTATTATTATTATTATTATTATTTTATTAAAAGTATGCTGTGTTTAAACTAACCATACATCATATATTTGTATCAAATGAGATATCTGCATTCTCATGACTATCATGTGATGAAGAATTAACCTATTTTCAAAGAATAACATTTTAATATTAGCTAGCTGAGGTTAATGTAAACTGTGTGTGTGTCATATGAAACCATAAAGATAATGTGTTTTACTATTATACATTGTACATGATCCTGCTTCCCACTGATAACTAATTAACTATATACTGCACATTACATGTATATTCAGCATATAAATACATGTATGTACATGTACTACCTGTCAGTTATAATGTATATCTATTCATTAGTGTTGAGTGATTTCTTTTGAATTTTGTGAGAGCAGCTGCTAGTTATGCAATAGTTCCCTCTCAGTGTGTGTGTGTGTGTGTGGTGATTGTTTGATTGTGTGTTTGATTTGTTTGTGTCTCTGTAGGTATCAGATCATCCAGCTGCTCTCGTGTTAGCTAATAATGGATTCTCTCGTCTGGTAAGAATACACTTGCATGAGCTTTAACAAAACTCCAGGATATTTATATCTGAGTCCAATTTGTATTTGTTTTGTTATTTTTAATAGCACATGTACCTCGTTGAACAACGTGATGAGTTGCTAAGAGAAGTCCAAACAATGTCACAGAATAACTTAGGATACTTCATAGGAATTAGGAAAGACCCAATCACACAGCAGGACTTCCTTAACAGGAGATTTGGGAAATACAGGTACATTAATTATACATGTAGACACAGTATAAGGATCAATGTTGTACAGTATATGGTATAGTAATTATTATTATTATGATATAATGTCATGTGTATTATAGTGATGATGACTCCATTACTTCACTGACTGAGTTTCCTGTACAGAAACACTCGCAACGTCATTCAGTAAGTGATAGAACTAATCTCACCTCTTAATATCTTTCTCTCTCACCCACCCCCCCCCCCTCTCTCTCTCTCTCCTTTTATCAGGAGCCAGTCCAGCGTACATTAGCTCTGTCAGAGAATTGTTTACTGGAGAGGGATCCTAGTACTTATGCAATAGTGACACTGAAGCCTCTCTGCTCTGTCTTCTCTCTCATAAGGTATCCTGAAAACCCTCAAAACTTTGCAGTTGAATACAACACTGGACAGATTCGACGCTACACTTCAGCTGATAGGTAAGGAGAGAGGGAGAGGAGAGAGAGAGGGGGGAGGGAGAAGAGGATCAAGTTATCCTGATCTGTGTATGTGCATATATGGTTTAATTCTGATCTTAGCTGTTATGACTCGTGTTATTTTAAACATGACTCTTGGCCATTTATAACGTGTTAAAATTCCACTGGTACATACATGTACATGTGCATGTATATTAGTCAGCAGTCAGAATGTACACTGTACATGTATTTATAATCAGCCTTTTTTGTCTTTAATATACTCATAAAATTTGTTATTAAAGTTCCCCTCTATTTATGTATGTACATTGTAACTCCATTTCTTCATTGTTTAGGGATTCACTACTTTGTTCAATACTTGATGGAGTCCGTGCCACTGGTAACAATGACGTGTGTGTTAAAATGAAACGTACGATACTCGGCCAGCGTCTAGGGCCCATGGTCCTCCCAGTGGAGGAGGAGGTGGAGAGCATGTACCTCAAGCTACTCGGGACAACTCCGCCCGGCCCGTCTTTCATGACAGCTGTTGAAGAGTTCAATGCTAATATTGGGTACAGTGGGTTGAACCATGCTGTGACTCAGGAGGGACTTTTTACCGAAAATAAAGAGAAACTCATCACTCAAGCTCTTCTCTCTCTCTTATCTAAAGATGGCGACCAGTCCTCTCTATCAGCTTATGATCTGGAGTGTCAGTTTCATTCTTTGAGAAGATTGGTAGCATCTAAAGCTGGATACAGTGCCTTCACTGAACTACCAAAGTATATTAGATGATGCAATATTTGCAATGAATATATTCATGTATAATACCCTACCATTAGCAAGAGTGCATGTACATGTACATAGTTTCAATGTTTCTGTATTGTTCCATTGTTATTCTATTATCATCAACAAAAGTTGAATTAGATGGAGTATATGTAGATATACCTGTAAGACAAAATATTTTTACAATTCCATGTATACAATGTATGACAAAATATTTTGTTCTATTTTGTAGTTTTCGTGATTCTGTTGGTAAGAAGGTAGTCCGTTCCCTCAAGCGTAAAGATGATGGTATCACTCATGCTTGTGTTGATTTCCTGTGTGCCCTTATGCAACCAATGCATGACAACTTTGACCTCAAGCAGGAGCAACTCAACAAGTCGTCTCTCCTCTCCAGTAAAGCTTTCATTGACAACCTTTTAGAAGTCCTTAGATCACACATAGTACGTTAATACTCATTATGATTTTATTTTATTTATTTTTTATATAGAAATTAGGAACAGGTGCTCTTGTCATTAGCGCTCTTTTAGATTTCATTACATTTGCAATATGTCCTCCTTACAGGTAAGCTATGCAAGATTCATTCTGCATCATCTACCCTCTCTTTTTCTCTCTCTCTCTTCTTGTGTATGTATTGTTATTTCACAGTGAGACTACCCCTGGTGCCATGTTTGATAGTGTTCTTGAGTTGACAGCTGCTCTTAATCGGGGACTCTTCAAGTTATTCCAGCATCCATCACTCGCTATTGTTAAAGCAGCTGGCCTCATTATGAAAGCTATTATTGAAGTTAGTTACATGTCATACACGGTTTTTTATGAATTTTTAAAGTTGTAAAATGGAGCCAAAGTCCCTGTATTATAGTACAGTCAAAAGTGGCTCCAAAAATTCTCCATTTTTATCAACAGTTTTAGAACATTATCATTATTATTATCATTATTATTATCATTATTATCCTTATTAGGAAGGTAATGAGGACATTGCTAAAAGGATGCAGGAGCTAGCACTGGCTGAAGGAGCTCTACCAAGACACATGCACACAGCTCTCTTCACTTCCAGTGCTGACAACAGACTACTGACACACAGGTAGAGCATACTACAGTATCATGTACAGTATAGTTACATTTATCTATGTACATTGTACATGTGTATCTACATGTAGATTTACTATGATTTTTTATCTTATTATTACAGACAATTGAGTCGTCATTTAATCAAACTGTGGATAACTGGTAACCCCACAGCTAATGCACTCCTACTAAGAATGCTGGTAAGTTAAGTCACTGTACCAGCTGCTGTGCATGTAATTACATGTATATCTTTGACATAATAATGCATTTACATTTTTACTTGTCTTCTTTCTCTCTCTCCCTTAGCCACTTGGTCTAGTTCAGTATTTAGAGTCTTCAGAGAAAGCCCCTGAAGACACTGATAGGATGCACATTAGGGATAATCTAAAAGCAGTCCAGCTGTCAAGGAAGAAGCTGAATGTTGTTGAGTCGACACTTCTCCACTGGAGAGCTAGACTACGCTCCAAACCACAGCCCACTGGCCAGCCGGTCACCTTGAGGAAGAGGAGGGAGAATATCAAATCTGAAGCAAACTGGACACTCTTCTATTACAAGTTAGTAAAAAATAGTTATAATATTTTAATGTGACGACATTCTTTGTATTTATATATTAGATTTACAATTGACCATGCTACTTCAAGCCTAATATGGAACTACAAGACGAGGGAGGAGCTTAGGGAGGCCCTGGAGACTGAGATAAGATCTTTCACTATCGACAAAGATCTCAGCGGTAACGCTGAGATATCATGGAATCACGTTGAGTTTGAGGTTCGATACGAGAGCCTCTCAGACGAGATCAAGATCGGGGACTATTACCTGAGACTGCTCCTGGATGAAGGAGGATCCACTAAATTTGTTAAACCGTAAGAGTATTATGTATATACATGTACATGTACTTGGGTTTTTTTAATATATAGGTTGGAGTTTTTCAATGATTTATATCATCGGTTCTTACTCTCACCAAAGCCAGCTATGAAAGCAATGTGTCTCCAGGCAATGGCTATAGTCTATGGACAGTGTTATGAAGAGATAGGACCATTCAATGATACTCCATTCATTGTACACAAACTAGAAAGAGTAAGCCATTTTATGTAATAATGATTTTTATGTTACTTTTATGATATTTCCTTTTGATAGTGTGATGACAAGGAGGAGCGTGATAGACTATTAATGTTTATTGATAAGTTAGTCTTTCATAAGAAGAACATTAAGCTATTCCTTGATGCTCACGGGATGAAGATACTAGTGGATCTACTGGCAATGGCCCACCTACACACCACAAGAGCTTACGTACCAACACAGGTACCACCTTAAGTATATCATTTATAATGTGCAATGTACTTATCCTAATAGACCAACGTCATTGAAGCTGCTCCTGATCAAGGTGGTAACTCTGAGAAGGAGTGGTACTTTGGTAACCGAGAGAGAGAAAGGGAGGGCCCCTATTCGTTTGAGGAGATGAAGGAGCTGTGGACAGGAGAGACGCTACACCCAAAGTCACGCTGCTGGGCTCAAGGCATGGAGGGATGGAAGCCATTGGATCAGATAGCACAACTGAAGTGGAACCTAATGGCGACTGGTACTCCATTACTGAATGAGTCAGAAGTTGCTGCCCTTATATTGAATATGCTCATTAGAATGTGTAACAGTTACCCTACTAGGTAAGAGAGAGAGGGAAGGAGGGTCAATTGTATGGTATATTTTGCTTTAAACAGAGATATTGATGATGCTGTTATCCGTCCACTGCCCCGAGCTAAGAGGATGCTTTCAGAACCGACTGCCCTCCCTCATCTTGTCCAGCTGCTGTTAACCTTTGATCCGTCACTCGTGGATAAAGTAGTGACACTATTGAACAACATAATGGAAGTGAGTTGTTACTGAACTATTTATTGACATACATGTAACTCTCTCTCTCTTTTAAAGGATAATCCACAGTTGCCTCGTTTGTTCATGAGTGGTGTCTTCTTCTTCATAATGATGTACACTGGCTCCAACATACTCCCAATAGCTAAATTCCTCCAATACAGTCACACCAAACAATCCTTCAGACCTGATGAGGTAAGTATATGGCATATATAATCGACCAATCAGATTACTGTTTCCATGACAGCAAGCAACATCAGATATAATGCTGAGGAGTATTCTCGGTCAACTGCTGCCAGAGGCTATGGTCCATTATTTAGAGAATCACGGCCCCGAGAAATTCAGCTCAATATTTCTTGGAGAATTTGACACCCCAGAGGCTATTTGGAATGCTGAGATGAGGTGAGTTGTGGGCGTGGCTTAGACCAAGTGACCACACCCATTTTATAGGAGACTGATGATTGAGAAGATAGCGGTACACATTGCTGATTTTAGTCCTAGACTAAGGAGCAACACTAAATCCACCTATCAGTATTGTGCCATTCCCATTATTCAGTATCCACAATTAGAGAACGAACTGTTTTGTAATATTTATTATTTGCGTCATTTGTGTGATACCGTGAAGTTCCCCGACTGGCCAGTCAAAGACCCAGTGAGTATATACATGTACAGTACATGTATTCTAATTATAGCACTGATTGTATTGCATATAGTGATTATGTAATGCAAGATGTGCTAAATTTAGTACATGTTACTATAATTAGCTTTTTGAAGATTTATATACATGTATTGTGTTAATGTATCTTTCTCTCTCTTCTCTCCAGGTTAAAGTATTAAAGGACGTCTTGTTGGAGTGGAAGAAAGAGGTTGATAAGAAACCCCCAGAGATGTCAGTGAGTCAGGCTTACGAGACTCTCGGGCTTGAGGTTGGAGTAGGCGGACATGAGGAGAGCAAGATCCGTAAGTCTTACTTCAAATTGGCACAGAAATACCATCCAGACAAGAACCCAGAAGGAAGAGTAAGGGCTCTGTTTAATGTATTTATTATTATTGTTATTATTATTATTTAGTCTGTTTTTGAGGCTGTTAACAAAGCCTACGAGTTCTTATGCTCCAAATCCGCTCACACGAAAGTCGGACCAGATCCTGAGCGTATTGTCCTACTACTCAGAACCCAATCAATACTCTTCACTCGCTGTGCTGACAGTAAGTCAACCTCTCATCACATGACTATCATGTGACCTGTTGATCATTCACAGCACTCCGCCCATACAAGTATGCCGGATACCCTATGCTTATAAAGACCATCGAGAGGGAGACTGGCGATGAGGACTTGTTTTCTAAATCGGCTCCAATCCTGACAGCTGCTAGTGAAGTGGCCTATCACACTATGAACAACAGTGCTTTGAACTCAGAGGAGCTGTGTAGAGAGAATGGAATACCAGTAAGTTAATGTGTACATGTTTCTATTCTCAATTTTTAGCATCATAGAATTCTACTATTCTGCATGTACATGTACATATACATGTACATGTACTTTTATATTTATTTTATTTTTTAATTCTTTTATATAAATGTTCTTTTTCTTTCTCTCAGATACTTCAAGCAGCCTTCACCAGGTGTGTTAATGTCATTTCTGAGTCCAGCAAAGAGGATGACATGTCTGTCCAGGTTGGCGTGACAACAAGCTCCACCCCCTAATAACTATTAATTAACTAGGTCTGTTCGCACATTGCCAAGTGTTATAGAGTATCCTCTCAGTTTGAGGCGTGTCGTGAGTCGATTGTGGAGACACCCAACATTGTCAAAGACCTCTGTAGAATTATGTATTATAAGGTAACTTAATTATAATTATCTGTATTTTTAATGTATAATTTTAAATATTTTTGAATGTTTTTTGTTATTTTTAGAACCTTCCAAGATTAAATGTAATAGCAACAGAAACTGCTTCATCATTTGCCGTTGATGAATGGTTACAGACACAGCTGCTACAAGTAAAGGAGAAAGAAATTACTGTAAATTCATCAATCTTTATTTCTCTCCTTTGTTGTACTGTAGGCTGGTGTCCTTTGGCATGTGTTACAGTATATATTCAATTATGATTACACTCTTGATGAAAGTGGAGTGGAAACCAACGAATCAACCAACCAACAGGTCAGCCACTAACTAATCAAAGAATGAGACATTAATGTTCACTATATGTACCATTATACCATTATACTGTCTTTATCCTTTTAGGAAGTTGCTAATAATCTGGCGAGACTTAGTTTGGTAGCAGCTGCAAGACTAGGAGGATTTAAATGTGAGCTGCTATTGTTATTATTATTATTATTATTATTATTGTTGTTGTTGTTGTTGTTGAAACAGTGGCTGGCAGTGAAGGAACACCTTACAATAAAGTCATACAGTCCATATTCTCCAACCTACTCACTCCATACCTAGCTAAACTAATATCAAGAAACACAACAAATGAAGTATGACACCATCACATGATCATCACATGATCATCACATGACTTTCATTCCTTCCTTAGTTGCTAAAGATATTGAATAGTAACACTGAGAATCCTTACCTTATATGGGATAACAGGACCAGAGCTGAACTGACCGACTATTTGCTGACACAGCAAAAGAGCATGATTAGATCAGTAAGTAGATATTATTTATGATTATTTATTTTATTCTTCTCTCTCTCTCTCTCTCTCTCTCTCTCTCTCTCTCTCTAGGGAGAGTGTGATATGTCATTTGGGGAGGATTTCAAGTACTCCGTGCTAAAGGATGAACTGGTCATTGGTGAGGTCTATATTCGTGTTTATAACGAGCAGCCAACCTTTGTACTCGAGGACCCCAAGGGATTCGCCACTGCAGTACTGGACTTCATTGGATCTAATGCACAAGTACATTATGCTATGATTTACTATGTTTTACTATGATTTACTGTGTTTTACTATAATTTACTATGTTTTACTATGATTTACTGTGTTTTACTATAAATTTACTATGTTTTACTGTATTGCAGTACCTTCATTCCTTGATGGCGATGACAGCTAGTGACATTGATAAAGGGCAGCATGCTGTGAGACTGAAGAATGTGGAGATGGCTCTTGAAGCGTTGTACAACGTCCTCCATGCTAACCCAGGAGTAGAGATACAGTGTATGGGACACTTCAAGTTATTGTTCTCACTATTAGGAGTACAGGGAGCTAACAAAGTTCAAATGTGTGCATTACAGGTATGGCTAATGCAGCTACAGTAGTTATTGAATTTATTATTATTATTATTATTATTATTATTATTATTATTCTGTTAGGTGGTATCGGCAGTCACTGGTAATAAGAGCTGTGTCTCTAATATAGCTGATTCTAATGTTCTACAGTATCTCATGATAGTACTGCATTCTCTACCAGCATGTGAGTATTAATGAATAGTAACAACATAGGCAGATAAGGACTAGGGATTGGGTAGCAGGAAATTCATTCATATTTTTTGTTTTATTTTTTTAAATTTTATTCCTGTTTTATTCCGTTTTACATATATTTGTTCCTTTTCTACTTTTAGCTCATAGTTTAGTTTTAGAAGTTTTACAAGCTTTAACATCGCACACTCAAATAGTCAAAGAATCCATTCAGAAAGGTAAGAGCTCATCATTCAACCATCAGAACAACTTATAAAACCTTTTTCTTCTTTCTTCCCTGCCTCCATCCTCTTTCTTTCTCTCCTCTCTTTCCCATTCTTCAGGTGCTCTTATATATCTGTTAAATCTCTTCTGCAATTCTCAGAATTCTTCAGTGAGAGAGCAAACAGCTAATCTCTTTGCTAAGATGATAACTGATAAACTGGTTGGTCCTCGTGTTAGGATTGTACTAGGAAAGTTCCTTCCTTACATATTCATGGACGCCATGAGAGACAGTGCAGAAGCAGCTGTCATTATGTTTGAAAGTGAGCCAAAATAGAGCGTATGTACATTTATTGATTGTTGTTAATATCCAAAGATACGCAAGAGAATCCTGAGCTAATCTGGAACGATGAGTCAAGAGAGAAAGTTTCTGACATGATACAAACAATGACAAATGAGTAAAATATTCTTTTTTTTCTAATTTTTTATACCAATTATGTTTTTTTGGTTTATTTAATTTGTTATTTTTTAGATTTTTCCTGCAACAGAAAGATAATCCTGAAATCATATGGAAGGTAATGGACGCTCAGTTGTACATGCATTTATCTGACATGACATGATGGCAAAGAGGATTCTATTATATTTTCTGATGTATATACATGTATATGTTCTTATCTTGAGCTAATTCCAATCAAATTTGGATTTTTAAAGAATTTTTAAAGTTGCTCAAAAATTGCGCCAATGACCAAAGGCTATAGCCTTTGGTCATNTGGCAAATTTTGCGAAAAATGAAAAGTAGAGAAATCTCTGTTTATATAATTTTTTCTGATGCATATACATGTTCTTATGTTGTGTTTCAAGTTTGAACTGATTCCGATCAAAATTGGATTTTTTTACGAATTTTTAAAGTTGCTCCAAAATCAGGCCAAAGTCTCTGTACTATAGTACACGGTCTCGGGCCAAATTTCGCGAAAAATGAAAAGTAGAGAAATCTCCGTTTTTATAATTTTTTCTGATGCATATACATGTTCTTATGTTGTGTTTCAAGTTTGAGCTAATTCCAATCAAAATTAGATTTTTTTACAAATTTTTAAAGTTGCTCCAAAATTGGGCCAAAGTCCCTGTACTATAGTACATGGTCTTGGGCCAAATTTCACCAAAAATGAAAAGTTGAGAAATTTCCATTTTAACAATTTTTCTTGATGGATATACATGTTCTTATGTTGTGTAGAAAGTTTAAGCTGATTCCGACTAAATTTGAATTTTTTTTTGCGAATTTTTAAAGTTACTCAAAAATCTGGTCTAAGACCATATGTACTACAGTACAGGGTATTTCATCAGAAATGTAACTGCAGTGAGGAGAGAATTCTCCATTTGATTTATATTATAATTTATTGACAATTTTTGACATTATTATTATTATTTATAGTTGCCTGAGGATTTTGCTGTAGTCTATTCTCAGATACAAGGAGAGGTTGAAGTAGGAGGAGTCTTCCTTAGACTCTTCATTGCTCAACCGAACTGGGTAAGAGTGTACCTAATGGAAACACAGTCCACTGCAACTTGTAACAATTAATACAACTGTAGCTGTAGTCTGTAGTTCATAGTGGTTGCTCTGCACGTGTACATGTATACAGTATCATGTTTAACTTTTGAAAGTTAATGTTTATTTTTTGTGAATGTTAGCTTACTATAGCCTTCTGGCAATCACTTTGAAAAAATACCAGTTTTGTGCCAATACATACGCTGTGTATATGTACCTGTGTGATTTTACATTTACTGTGTGATTTTTTATTCATTTACAGGTGCTTCGTAAACCCAAAGAGTTTCTCATTGCTCTCCTTGAGAAGTTTAGTGTCCTCATACAGTCACACTCGCCAGATGTAAGCTCACTAGTTATTAATAGTTATTAATGACCACACCCACAGGGTGAGGTACTAGAGACAGTGACTCAAGCTACAGTGTGTCTATTCAGTGCTCAACCAGCAATGGCTGATCAAGTACCACCACTGGGCCATCTTCCTAGGATATTTGAGAGGATGTTTGCGGAGAATAACAGCATACCAAAGTCTTGTGTTGAAGTTGTTAATGTGCTATCTGGAAGTGGAGTAAGGAGAGAGAGAAAAAGAGAAAGAGAGAGGAAGAGAAAAAAAGAGGGGAGAGAAAAGGGAGAAGGATAGATTGTAGATGCAATTTGCATATGTACTTTTTCTGTCTTTCCTCCCTCTCTCTCTCTCTCTCTCTTTTATCCAGTTTTGTGTTCGCAATATGTCCAAGATAGACACAGCAATGAAATCTCTGCTAGCTGCTATGAAGAAGAGACCAGACTGTGTTAATTCAGCTGCCGAGAGTATCAGTAAAATGATGGAAGAAGGCTCACCTGAGCTGGTTCATCAGGCACTAGAGCACGGGATGGTAGCGTATTTATTGGAACTGCTGGACAGTGCTTTAACTGAGTGTGATAAACCTTCGGCTACTAAAGCAATCATCGCAGAGTCTCTGAAACTAATGGCCAAGGATCTTGCTAATGGAGAAAGGGTATGAGCAATAACTGCTGTACATAAATAAATAAATAAATGAATTAATGGATGACTCAATGGATGGTCAAAGATATGCTATATTATTATTTTTATTGTTAGGTAAATGAGTTACTAGATAGCTCTAAAGTATGGAGTGCCTATAAAGATCAGAAACACGATCTCTTCATTACTGATACACCAATAGCTGGTTACCTAACAGCTGGTAGTGTGGGGGGAGTTGCTGGGTATCTTACAGCTGGTACTTCAATAGGATCAGGTGGATCTGGAGCACCTCCTCCACTTGAACCTCCGGAAGATGTTGGCGCCAACGAAGATGACTAATATTATTATTATTATTATTATTATTAGTATTATTATTGTAATTTTGCTATTAATAATTGCTTCCCTTGAAAACTGATTGTACATGTCTTGTATTGTTTTTTGATTATTTTTGATCTGCTGTTTTGTATTTAAAAACTTCTCTTTTGTGTTATTAATTTTATTATGAATTTATGATATTGATCTAGTTATTATTAAAATTAAACTTATTAATTTTACATTGATACATTCTAAAACTCCCCAAAGAAAAGGCTAAACATAGACTCCTAAAGTGATGGCTTCAAGCAGCAGTCCTAGTGTTTCTAGTCGTAGCTATAGCTCTAAGAGTCTTGGTGGTAAGCCAGAGCGTCCTCCTCCTCCTCGTCACAGTGCTAGTGTTCCTTCTTATCCATCTACTGGTATTTTACCCAATGTGCCTCCTTTACCGCCTGAAAGACTGAGGTAAAGCAGTGTATAATATTTTTTAAAAGGAGACCTTATTAGCTCTTAATTCTGCTGTACGTACATGTACATAATATATTTATTTAAAGATGGTTTTATATGGAGAATGGGAAGATTTGGAGGCCATTTTGTGGTCATGATTCACTGAATTTGGAGGAGGCTAGGACCATTTTGCTTCAAGAAGCTGTGGCATGTCCAGATGTGGAGCGAGAGGTAGAAGTGATGGGTAATATGTACATTGTGGTGCTGCATTCAAAAGAATCACCAACTCTTAAACCTATCTACTGGGAAGGTAAGTATAGAAAAAGAAATAATAATAATAATGGTGATGATACTCCTTAACTTCTTTGTTGTATTTTCTTTTGTTGTTTGTAACTTTGTTCTTTTCTCCTTTTTTCTTATATCAATCATCATCTATTTTTCTCCCTCTTTTGCTCTCTCCTCTCTCTCTCCTCTTCATGTATAGCTAAACCTTGTCCAGTCTTAAGAGGCTCTTGGTTTGAAGTCATATCCTCCGAGCGCTGGCTGCCACTCAGTCAAGAAGAGGCTGATCTTCTTGAGGAAGCACATACAAGAAAGGATTGGAGAGAAAGAGTAAGGCAACATGAATGAATAAATAAATAAATAAATAAATATATGTGATGGTATATTAAATAGTTTGTCATTTTTAGCCAAAATTTATAATGTCCTTATTTTACGTGTATAGAGATTAAGTTTTAGTTTCAAAATTTTGAATAGTAATGAAACTGGTCCAATCACTGTTATCATTATATTACTCATTGTTACTCATTGCTACTCATTAGGCTAGAGCAGATGCCAGTTTGACTGATTGGGCTAACTCCAACAAATCACCTGATGCTAATAATGAGAGACGTGGGTCTGCACCTCTGAAATCTCAATCACAAAATACAGGTACATGCATCATGTGTAGGACCAGTAAATATACTTGTACATGATACAATGAAAATTATACATGTAGCTAAAATATGTGATAAGAATGATGATAATGATTATTTTATTTTATTTTATTTTAGTAGTCCTGAATCAGGTCTCATGTAATGGATATGAAGCAGTATGGACTGGAGAGAATGACATTGTGAAGATAAAGACAGACCTGACATCAAAGTTATTAAATAAAGTTGGAGGGAAGGTTGGTATCAGTCAGCAGTACGGAGCCACCAAGTTGACGAGAGGATACAAGGAAGCTTGTCTACCTACAAGAACATCACCGCCCATTGGCCATCTTGTTTTTGTGATACACGGGATTGGACAGAATATGGACGCATCTGACATTGTGAAGAGCACCTCAGAGTGAGGGAGGAGAGAGAGGGAGGAGGAGAGGGAGGGAGAGGGAGAGAGAGGGAGAGGGAGAGAGAGGGAGAGGGAGAGAGAGGGAGAGGAAGAGAGAGGAAGAGAGAGAAGATAAATAAAGGAGAAAAAGATAGAGAAAGTGTATGTACATGTAGTTGAAAGTATATAATAATGAAATAAGAATTGGTTGATGGATATTTTTACTGTTCATCTGATAGTTTGAGGGATACTTGTAGACAGACTGCTCTGAAGCATTTCCCTGATCAATGGAAGAATAAAAGAGTTGAATTTATTCCAATTGAATGGAGGACATGGCTGACACTAGATCAAGGTACAGTTGTAGTTCATGATCATTGTCATCATCATTATACATGAACCTTCTTTATGAAATACCCTGTACTATAGTACAGTCTAAATTAGACCCAATTCTGGAGCAACTTTAAAAATTCGTAAAAAATCCAAGCTTGATCGGAATCAGCTCAAACTTGATATACAACATAAGAACATGTATATGTATTAGGGAAAAATATAAAAATGAAGAATTCTTTACTTTTCATTTTTGGTGAAATTTGGCCAAAATCCCTGTACTAAAAAAATTTAAAAAAACAAGAT